GCGGGCTCAGGCAATCCACTCGCCTCAGCCTCCCAAAGTGCTGGGATTACAGGCTGAGCCACCGAGCCCAGCCTCTAGAGACTTTTAAATAGATAATTCCATTCAGAGTGATTCCTGCAATGGTGGTGGCTTAATAGACACCCTCAGAGCTCACAGGGAGACAGAAGTAACTTGGGGAAGGGGGCAGTGGAAGTGGAAAGCAACAAAACAGGGAAGGTTTCACTAAACAAGGGATTTTTGAGCTGGGCTTTGGAGGTTAACTAGGAGTTTGCAAATGTAGGAGAAGGGAAGGGACATTCCAGGTAAGAGAAGCAGCACAGACCTAGACTTATGCAAGGGTTACAGGAGCAGCACAAAGCCTAGTATTGCAAGAGCTTGTCGAGGTGAGATCCTGGAATCAAGATTGAGACCAGAAGGCTTTTCTATGTATGTCATGCTGAGGCCAAGATTCATCCTAGAGTTCAGTATTTCTCAGCCTCTTTAAATGTTTATGCTTTGATAAACATAACCCTCTTATTACCTCTAAAATTTTTTTTGATGCACGTCCCTCCCCCATAAGAATCACAGATAGATAACCTTAACCAAAAAACTTCTGTAGTTGTGTTAAGAAAGTTGTTACGTTTGCCTCCCAATTGTAAGATTCCATCAAAATGTTGATGTTGCTTATTCAAATTAATCAGGCCCTAGAAATTGGTACATTCAATAGGAAAGGTTTTAAGGGGTGGGGGTGCCCTGATTTACCCTGTGTTTTAGGAAGAAGAAAATCATAAATGTCTAAAAAGTACCTTTCTTTCTTATGCATAGGACACCATGAAGCAGCTGCCAGTCTTGGAGCCTGGAGACAAACCCAGGAAAGCAACATGGTCTGTAAGGGAGGATTCAGACACAGAGAAACATGAGTTTTTGTTTCACTTATAAGTAGTTTACTAACATATTTGATCATCAACAAAAACGGGTAGAGATGAAACTGTCTGCAGTTTCTGGTAATTAGACTCAAACTGTCTGAGAAGGTCTTCAGAGGATAGGTGGGGAGGCAGTAATTATCACAGAGCAGATGTTGATTTTATTAAAATCCATTTACCAGGAAGAGTAAGGCACTGACCATCTGGCATCCTCAGCTCCAATACAGTGTCTTCCTCTGAGCTGTGACTCATTTTTAAGAATTTTGGGAAATTCAATTTGGATTAAACCGGCTTCACTGTTTTTTGGCTGCCTATTTAACTAAGCCTTCATTCAACAACTAACACTGGCCCAATGGGGGCAGCTGCCGTGTAGGTGCTGGAGGAGCAAAGGTTAAATAGTCTCTGTGTAGTGGCCACAAACTAAGCAGGTGATGGTGATAAAATGTGATCTGTGGCCAGGCTCGGTGGCTCAGCCTGTAATCCCAGCACTTTGGGAAGACAAGGCAAGTGGATTGCCTGAGCTCGTGAGTTCAAGACCAGTCCGGGCAACTTGGAGAGACCTCATCTCTACAATAAATCAAAACTTAGCCAGGCATGGTAGTGTGTGCCTGTAGTTCTGGCTACTTGGAAGGCTGAGGCGGAAGGATCGCCGGAGCCCAGCAGGTCGACGCTGGGGTGGCCATGAGTGTGCCACTACACTTCAACCTGGGTGACAGAGTGAGACTCCAACTCAAAAAAAGAAAGTGATCCATGGTGAGGCAGGGGCCACAGAAGTCTGGAGAGAGGTGGCAGTGTCTCCACAGGACTTCAAAAGAGGGCCTCCAGTCTGGATTCCCTGCATCCATCTTGTTCGGAACCCAGCATATAGCTGATCATGGCATCCCCTAGTTTAAAACACTTTTATCCCTCCCTATTTGTCTTAGGATAAAAACTAGACTGCTTAACCTGACCCCCTGGTCCCTGCAAAATCTGTTTCTGCCTGTTTTTTTTTTCCAACTTCAAATCCCCTTACTCATTCCTTTGTTCTTTTTCTCTTCCTTTAACATACTCTGGACTGTCCTACTCAAAAGCTGTAATGCTGGGCCCTCTACCTGGGCTACTCTTTTCCTCTACCTTTTTGTCTCTCTCTTTGCCTTGCTAATTTTATTTTTTTTAATTTAAATTCTTGTTTATTTATTTATTATTATTTTATTTTTAAATTATTATTATTATTTGAGTCAAGGTCTCACTCTGTCGCCCAGGCTAGAGTGCAATGGCATGCTCACTGCCATCACAGGTGGTCCTTCCACCTCAAACCTCCCAAGTAGCTGGGACTACAGGCATATGCCACCAAGCCTGGCTAATTTTTTTAGTTTTTATGTAGAGACAAGGTCTCACTATGTTGCCAAGGCTGGTCTTGAACTCCTGGACTCAAGTAATCCACCTGACTCAAACTCTCAAAGTGCTGGAGTTACAGGCGTGAGCCACCATGCCCAACCTGCCCAGCTAATTCCTACTCATATTTCAGATCCTAGTTCAAATGGTGCTTCTTCAGGAAGCCTCCTCTGTCCACTCCATCTCCCACCCTCCTTTACAGGGCATAGCCCTCCTGTAATGTGTTCTCATACTGTATATCCTGTACTCCTTTATACCACGATTGAAATGAGATAGATATTTGTGAAATTGTCTAATGTTTCTCTTTCAACTAATCTGTAAGGGCCGTGACCACCAGTTCTCTGGCTGTGCGCTATTGGCTACATGTTATTTAACCTTTCTAAACCTCAGTTCCTTAGTTGTAAAACTCAGATGATGATGACAATAGCACTGATCTTCAGAGGGGATTTGTGCAGATTAAGTACATCAGAAGAGAGATCTGAACAAGAAATAGAGATTTGGAAGCCACTGATGAATATGATGATGGGTGGTAATTGAAGCTATCAATACAGATTAGTCAGGTAGGCAAACATAGACTGAGGAAAAGAGAATCCCAAGGACACTGAGAGTTAGGAGAAGGCTAATAGGAAAAGAGTCAGAGAAGGAAACAGAAAGAACAGCCAGAAAGCTGAGGAGAGAACCAAAAAGGAGGGATGTGGGGAAACCAGTTAGGAAAAAGGCATGAGAAGGAAAGACGGGTCAGGAGAACCAAACACCAGACAGGTCAAATAAGACAGGACCTGGAAAACAGCCACAAAATTTTCTTTTCCAACCATGAAGTGTGAAATGTGTTTTTTTAGTCAGCATTCAGAAAAACTGTAGAAGAGAGGAATGATTGGATCTTGTATTTGATTTTTCAGAATGCTAGCTTTAGCTACCATCAGGTTAAGCTTTGTGAGTAGTCTGGGAAAAATTCTGGGAATATTTGGTAGTGGGAAGAGTATTAGGGCAGTAGGTTCCTGGGAATATTTTGGTAGTGGGAAGAGTATTAATTAGGGCAGTAGGTTCCTATGTGAATGCACATAAAGCTCTCAGCAGGGCGCAGTGGCTCATGCCTGTAATCCTAACACTTTAGGAGGCCAAGGCGGAAGGATCACTTGAGCCCAGGAGTTTGAGACCAGCCTAAGCAACATAGCAAGACCTTATCTCTACAAAAACAAAAAAATGAGGCAGAATGGCACATGACTATAGTCCCAGCTACTCAAGAAGCCAAGGCAGGATGATCACTTGAGTACAAAAAGTCAAAGCTGTACTGAGCCAGGATCACGCCACTGTACTCCATGTACTCCATGCACTCCATTCTGGGTGACAGAGTGAAACTCTGTCTAAAAAAACCAAACAAGCTCTACCTACCATCTATTGAGTCCTTCCTTACATTGTTAGGAAGTCTTGCCTTAGTCTTTTGTGTGTGTGTGTGTGTGTGTGTGTGTGTGTGTGTTGGAGTCTCACTCTGTTGCCCAGACTGGAGTGCAGTGGCCGCTCCCGGCCACTGCAGCCTCGACCT